GTGTGTGTGTGTGTGTGTGTGTGTGTGTGTTTGTGTGTGTGTCGGTCCGACTCGTACCTCAGACACAGGAAGAGGAAGAAGGCGACCAGCAGCGCCACCATGGAGATGCAGTGACCCAGGAAGTTGATGATGACGGCGATCTGATAATGCATCTTCCCTTTTTTCTGCAGGGAGAAACAAAAACAGATTTTTTATTTTTTTTATTTTCTGATCGACAGATTTTATTCAGAGACTCTATTTCAGTAAAATCCTCTTTCCTCTCCGAGTTTCTGAGCTTCTGCCTCCTGCTGAGGTTCTGAACAGGCCGTGGGAGTTCTGCTCACATTTCAGTCTCGCTCGAGTTATGAATAAATTCTTGGAAAACTCAGAAATAAAGAAACAAACTTTAAACAAAACATAATAAAACATTTTGTCTTAGTTTTAACATGAATTACTGGGGCCATTTTTTTAGCCTGATCATGTTTTTTTGGAGCAGATTGTATATATATTTTTTAGAATAAATTTAAWACTTTGAATTAATAAATATATTTAATAAACACTAACAAACAGAAATCTGCTCAAAATCCATCAAACGGACAGATTTTCAGGTGTTTGATGGGCTCATTTAATCGCAGCAGCCATCTTGAATGATGTTCAAACAGCTATACTATTATCCAAAATAAAACAAAAAACAAAGATACACAAAATCAGAAAGAAAAACACAAATTTTAACCAAAACATATGACAAATATCAGAAAAAGAACAAGAAGTTTAAGAGAAAAGTTGTATTTTTATAAGTTTAATGTTTTGTTTGTTGTTTTTCTTTTGTTTTTCTAAATGTTGAGTTTTGTTTTATTAATATTCCTTAAATCTGTTTCAAGGTTTTTCTGCTCCTGCTCTTTTGTTTTCTGAAGGTTTCAGGTTTTCGTTGAAAGTTTTTCTGAAATATTGCTTTTATTTAATAAACCTTTGTTGTTTTAGAAAATTGTTTTTCTTCCAAAATGTAATATTTCCTGAAAACGTGTTTTTTGTTTTCTGAAAATACTTGATGGCTGTTTGGTGTTTTATTTTGGACAGTCTATGACCCATGAGCTTTAATTTGCTATATTTTTGTGTATTTATGGAAAAGTTTTTTTGTTTTTTAGACACTGAGCTAAAAGAAGACCTTTACTCTGAAAGGCTGCAGCCAATAAACATCCTGTTCAGAACTGGAGCTTTTATTTTGTCATTCTGACACAGAAACAGCCAATCACTGATCAGAGAACAGATATCATCAGCTGCAGATGAACTAAACGCCTCAACAGAACCAGAACCAGAACCAGAGCCAGAATCAGAACCAGAACCAGAACCAGAGATGGGTTTAACATCTTCCTGAAACGACTCGGCTGTCCTTTCTAATCTGTGCTGGGAGTGAATTAAACAACCCGCTGGTGTCTGCACTGGGATTAAACCCCTTTAATCCACTCTGACACATCTGTTCCACTCACATCAAGACCATTGATGACCTG